TTAGAATTCTCAATGTCATGACCTTTAACTGGGTGAAATGGTGCAACGTGGAGCAACAAATTTGAACCTTAAAGGGTACCTTAAAGGGGCTAACTTATAGAATACATCCAAAATCTGGGACCCCTGACTCCCAAAACTCAATGAGGAAGCCAACAGGAACTCAGAAAGTGCTCCTACTGCCACCACTTTTTTTTGGTCTTCAATTGGTCTTTCTGTTTCTCTGTTTCATCTTTATCATCATCATCATCATCATCATCATTTTAGGCAGTGTCTATCCATGCGGAAGGTGCCTTCATTGAGGTTGAAGGCACCTTCCGCATGTTTCCAACCAATACGGTCCTGAGCCTTCTTTTGCCAATTGGGCCTCCAATACTTGCTGATGTCATCATTCCATCTTGTTTTAAGTCTCTTTTGTGGATTCTTTTTATCAAGTGGGATCCATTCGATGACTGCCTTGGTCCACCTGCCATCAGTTCTTCTTGCTATGTGACCAGCCCATTTCCATTGCAATTCTTTTACTCTCTTGATGATATTGCATGCTTTTGTTTGTTCTCTAATGCATATGCAGATCTTTCTATCTTGTCTTGTAATGCAAAGCATGTATCTTTCCATGGCTCTTTAAAACTCATAGTTTTTGTATTGATTGTGAAGTTAGCGTCCATGTTTCACTGCTATATGTTAGAGCAAGTAGCGCACAGTGATTGAAAACTTTTCTCGTCAGGCATGGGGGAGAGATTGTTCTTGAAAATTATGCTTAGACTAGACTAGACTAGATTAGAATAGAATTCTTTATTGGCCAAGTGTGATTGGACACACAAGGAATTTGTCTTGGTGCATATGCTCTCAGTGTACATAAAAGAAAAGATACATTCGTCAAGAATCATAAGGTACAACACTTAATGATAATCATAGGCAACAAATAAGCAATCAAATCATATTAGGAAAAGTCAATATAAATCTTAAGAATACCAGCAACAAGATTACAGTCATACAGTCATAAGTGGGAGGAGATAGGTTGCCGAATGCCTGCCAACCACATTTAACATGCCGTTCAATTTCCTTTATTGTAGCACCGTCCATTGAGATCCATTGCCCTAGGTATATGTAGTGGTCTACTATGTGTAGTTCTTCTCCAGATATATATTTTTTTCTTTCTTTGGTGAAGTCATTAAACAGAACGGATTGTCTAGTTCAACCATATCAAACCATATACATTTCCAGAAACACCTTAAGGCCTAAAACTAGTGGAGGCTTTACCGTGGCATAACAATAAACATTGAAGAGATACTAGAGAGAGGATCGCTTAGGTCAATAATTTTATCAGGGCAAGTGAATCCAGCCAACAGATGAACACGAACAATCAAAACTATAAGATACAACAGACCAATAAATGCTGATTGTTGGAATTATTAAATATGTTCCAATTCCAATTTGGTAATATATTTGGCATTTTTTAGCAAAATATAACTAACATATTGATTCTGTACACCAGATCTTGTGGCAAAAATCCATTTATCTGTTGTTTTTCAAAAGGAAGTAACTTTTTGTAACATCGTAGCCATTATCGCTAAATACTTAAAATTCACTTACATCATTGTAAAATGAAAATATGTATCATACACAGGAATGGAATCACTGATAAGCAATCAGGTGCTTGTCAGTTGTTTTGTTTTAGATCAATTACTATCAACTTCAGCATACGTGGAAAGGGACGGAATGAATTCAGCAAAAATATGGAAAGCATCAGTGAACATACCACTACTCTATATCAATGGTGTAGGGATGGAAAAATATTTGACATTAGTCATTTCCCATGCTAAAGTCACAGAAACAAGGAAAATATATTGTATAAATGCAGCATGACAAAACCCCTTTCTAAGTAATTCCTATGTCATTATTGGACTTAGTGGCAATCCTATATGTCCAGTCTGATGTTGTACTATCTTTCCAATGTTGAAGAATTCTTTGCTAACCATGATGATAAAAACCAGATTAGATAAACCAAGTTAGATAATAAGCCAGGTTAAAAAGAGAATGTCTAGAAAGTTGCCTTTTCCGTACAAAATGTTATCTGTTGAAAACAATTCAAATATATTAGCATGAAAAAAACATCTAATTAAATATTTAGGCATTTGTTTAGCCTATAAATTGTTTTGCCTTTAAGCAACACTTACATCAATTTTATATGAGACTTTTTTTTAAAAAAATAATATAGTTACACCTTCAAATTTAAAAACTTTAACTGAAAGAAGAAGTAGGGTCAAGAATGACTAGGTACTGAATGAATGTGGATTCGGTACTTTTGTTTATATAAAGAGAATTAATGAAGACTGAACCAGAAAACAAATAAACAAAGGAATGAGTTAAGGATAACTGCCACAATTATTGGTTGGATGAAGCTGATGAGATCATGAAGCTTAAAGAACAAAATGTATGAAGTAGTATACAGTTCTGAAGACAGCATGGATAGTTTGCAAAACCAAATGGTATGGAATGGTATCATGATTAAGTAAACTAAAATTGACTATGTTTCCTTTTTTTTTTCATTCATGATGCTTTAATTCCCTGGCTAACTATTTCTTACTCCTTTCGTACTCTTTCCATAGCACTTTTTGTTCCAAAAAAGAATAATATGATGGTTATGGATAAACAGGTATATGTAATTATTTATTCTGTTTTTATTTTTCAAACTTTAAAAAAATTAAAAAGAACTGTCATTTTGAATAGCTGTGGCCTATCTTTAAAATTTGTTAGCCTGATAAGCAAGAGACATAATTTTAGACCACTCCTTAAAAATGCTTATTACCTTTTCCACAATAGAGATATGAGGGGGCTTAGGGATGTAAAAGAATTTAACATGTTGTGATTTGCAAAAGAACACCTTTTCCAAACAAAGAAACAACCTCGATTATCATTAAAATAAAAACGAATACATCATGATAATCAGCAGCATTTTTGTCCTCACTTTTTCAATTACGTATAGTGTTTTCAGGTATGCATAGATTGGAGACAATCTGGTTCTGATATTGTTTGACAAGTAAGATGTAAGCTATACAGTTCACAGCAAGTAGCAGATTACTATGCAAAGCAAACAATAATTTCCCAGTAATCATAACACTTTTTAAATTGAAAATGGTATTTATTGATTATATCGTATCTTTTATCATTAAAAACATCTAGTAATTGGTCAGGTTACAATAATAAATAAACATTTATTTAACTTGTAGCTGGATAAAATTCTTGTAATGTGCAACAAGAGCAAATCATCTGGTTATGCACGAGACTTTGTATAGTATTTGCCTTCAACCTGTCAAATACTCTCAGAACAGCCATATTTCCTAACAAATTCCTAAAGAACTTTCTATTCTGGGTAAGTATGATGACAGCATTCAGTAAGAGCTATAGCCTTTTTTTGACTCCTGATAGCCAGCCAAATTCAGAAGCAGACGATAGTGCCAAAAATTAGGTGAATCCCTTTTCATTACTTATCATCATTCTAAGTGACAGTAATGTTTTCTTTAAAGCCATAAATCTTCCCTTTGCAAGCCTATACAATCTTTCAGCTGAAGTAAAGAGAAAGCAACTGCCACCTGCCAATTCTCTAGACCATCTGCCCTGTGCACTGAATCTGCATATTTTTCCACCAGTGATGTTGAGCCTTAACTACCTGAGTAAAACTAAAAACCCTAAGTTGCATTCTACCCCTGCTAACGACCCCTTGGTACAGTAAATTTTTGGCAACAAAAAAGCCATTTACTGTGCTTCCTCTACCATGGTTGTTTTTAAATTTTTTCCAGAAATTGCCTGGTGGATTCTCATTCAAAGGATAAGTAGATTCAGCCCTGCTTATCTTCTAAGCTTTTCCAAGGTCAGCCAGGTGCTGCCACCTGCCGAGAACCTTAGCTAACTGGGGTTCCCCTGTTGTCCTATCAATCCAGTATCAGACGCTCCACCCAGGAGAGGCTTTTGTGCATTTTTCGCTTTCCTGTTTCCCACCACTCCCGCTTGCCTTCTCACAAGAGCTGTTCAAGTTGAAATCTCATCAGCTCTGTCAAGCTTTCTCCTGGTGGCTGGAAGAGGAGGAGGAAGAAATGTTTCCGCACAAAGTTTACAACGTCCTGACCTTTGACCCAGTCACACTCCAACCTGTTAATCGCTGCCATCTGAACCAGAGAGGAAAACATGGGATGGGGGGTGTCTCTCTGCTTCCAATTTCATCAAGGCATTGTTTTCCCACTGCTCAGTCCTATACAATCTTTCTCCTGAAACCCCATTATCTTCTGGGTGGGATTTATTCACTGGTCAAAATCATTTAGGATTTCAGCCTACAAGTAGGGTGTCTTTTTGCGGGGGGGGGGATGTGTGAAGGGGGGAGGAAAAGGAAGTTTAAGTAACGTGGCCACTCAAACTCACCACGCAAATTATTATTATTAATAATAATAATAATAATAATAATAATAATAATAATAATAATAATATAAATAAAACATGTACGCCCCCCCCCCCAAAAAAAACCCCAGGTTGAGTGAAAAGGACAATCCTCCCGGATGAATTCAGTCAGATTTCTAGCCAAAGCACAGCCCAGCAGCGTCTAATGCCCGCCGCGGTAACAAGCCGCAGTCCTAGCCATACTTCAGTCGAGATCAATTCCGACTGACACCCGCGGGGCTTCCTCCCCGAGTTAAACCCCGATGCCTTGCCCGCACGCCTCCCGAGATGCCAACACTGCGCGCTGCCTTCCTCGCGGGAAGCGGGCAAGGCAGGCGCGCAAGGCACGGGGGAGGGAGGAGGAAAGGGGGGGAAAAAAGCGAGCAGCTCCGAGGCAAGCGATCGGGGAACCCGAGGCCCCTCGCACCTGACCCCCCCACGCCAAGCCAAACCCAACGTCTCCTAGCCTCGAAGACTGCCCGCCTTTCCACCTCCGCCACCCAACGCGGGAGATGACGGCGGGGGGTGGGGGAGAGGAGAAACAAAGCGCTCGGCTCCCCCTTCTCACTCACCCCGAGCTTCCTGCTGCGGATTTTCACGTAGCCTTGCTTGACTATATCGTTAAAGTTGGAGGCCATGGCCAGGATCAGCTTGCCCTGGAAAGGCCCCCCGCTCCGCGCCAGGGATCGTCGCCCTCTTCTTCTTCCTCCTCCTCTTCTTCGTCTTCTTCTTCCTCCTCCAGCTGCCGCTGAGTGCCCTTGGCCGCGGGCTCCAGGGGAGCCTCTGGCATCCAGGCGGCGGCGGCGGCGGCGGCGGCTGTGCAGGACCTCTGGCGCGCGCCGGGCACACACCGGCCCAGCGCAGCCCGCCCACTCCGCCTGCGGGGCGCCGCGCTCAACACTCAGGAACCTTTCCGGCCGCCCTATACGAAGCGAGCGGCTGCTTGGACCTCAGCGGCAAGTCGGTTCCAAACGCTACCAAGCGGGAGGAGGCACTCGCCACGCCATCATTGCCTGAAGCGCAGAAGAAGGAGCCGCTTCCCCGGCTCTTCTCGCAGATCCCACCCCCCGCTCCTCCCCAGCCAGCGTCGCTCCTTCGGCACCTAGAGGCTCTGGAGCTGCTCCCGCCGCACTAGCTTCCCTCCAGCGCGAAGGAGAAAAAGGGGAGAGGGAGGAGGAGGAGGGATTCCCGCTCGCTTCCTCCTTTTTTTTCGTCGTCTTCCCCATTAAGGCGCATCTCGCCCCCCGAGGAGGGTGGTTAGGAAAATGTCAGCCTTGCTCTTCATGCCCGAGCGCACCTTTCCCTTTTATTTCTTCTTTCTCTCTCTCTCTCTCTCTCTCTCTCTCTCTCACCCACCCACCCACTCTCTCTCCCTCTCTCTTTCCCTCCCCCCTCCAAGCTGGACAAGCTCGTGGGCCTAGCAAGTCACTTCTTCCCATAGTCAAGTCTGGACTATGGCTCTGGGAAATGTCTTTTGGCCAGTTGACCAGACTTGGAAAACTGAGGATGATTTTACACACCAGCAGAGATACAAACGTAGATAACAGAAAGGGTGATCACTTTTTTCTCACATTGATATGAGAAGATTTCTGTATAAAGCAGACTGGTCCATAGCACGGCTCCTCTATCTTCATTGCTGGGATTTGGATGCAAATGACATTAATGCTCGTTTGCTGATAAATTCACTTTTCATTAAAAGAGGATAAAATGCCCTAGGAAGCAACACTATCCTTTTCCAGGATGATGTCCTTCAGAGAAGTTGAGATTCTGCACCATTATGGAAACTGAATTTCAACATATCTATAACTCCTCAAGCCACTACTTTATATTCTGAAGTCCTTTTAGGTTTAAAATAGTTTGTTTACATAAATTATTCTCAGAATTTTACCTTTAGACTCTTGGAGTATGCGATGTAATACTGAGAAGTTTTACCTCTACAGTTATGCTAGTAATAATTGCCGTACCCAATAAAATCCATGCACTGTTCGTTCAAAAGTAAATCCCATTCATTCAGCGGGCTTAATTACATCCAAATAAGTATGCATAAGATTGCGTGCTTCATTCTTGAAACTGCAGGGAAGAAAGCCTGGGTCATTGTGCTTCAGAAAAATAGCTTTCGTATAAGAATGTTCAAAATAATAGCAACCTCTCCCCTAATTAAAAGATGAATGTTTGAGGAATCCTTTCTACATCATTTTATATTCCATGGAAGAAACCCTGAATCTGGCTGAAAAAAAAACTGTAATCATATTTTTGATCACTATAACTCACAAGGCAGTTATACTGCAAAACAAAGCGTATATAGGCTATATAATGAAATGAAAGTGCAGGCCATAAATTAAAATTAAGCCTATATTAATTTCTGACTTATTTCAAGAATGTATACAAAGCCCATAACAAGTTCCTAGGAAATTGCCAAATAATTAGGAGGCAATCCTGAATGATACTGGTTTTAAAGAGAGATCTTGAAATTTTGATTAAATCCAAGAATCTTTCATCCAAATTATCAAAGTCTTCTCCATATGAATATCAGGGGATGAGAATTCTGTCATGGTCAGGAAAACTTTGCATTTTGAAGAAATGTACAATTAAGTAAAAAGTTCTCCAAGGACAAGAGATTTTCTTCTAAGCATTGATTAATAACCTCGCAGTCTATCAGAAATAAGCTCTTGCTAGCTTTTACTTATCTTGTGTCTTCCAGATGCACTGAACTACATCAACTCTATGTAATATAATGTAGGTTTTCTGTATAAATACCAGACTGTCTGATTATAAAGGGGAGTCCAATGGAACATACAATGTTGGGAAGCAAGGAAAGAAGTACTGGTATATGTCTGCTGTCCTTGTGCTTCTACATGTATATGTAGATGGATACTCGTAATAGAAAAGAGGATTGCAATGATTTGATTATAGCATGATCTAAAGCGTATGACTGATCAAAATCTAATGAATCAGCTAGAGTAGAAGCCCAGCATTATTTTCATTGAATTGATCCATATCTCAATGAATTTGAGCTTCATTGAATTGAGTAGGTTTGCTCAGCAAGACTATCGGCACTATTCACTATGGTAACAAAATGAAATTAAGCCTTATTGGAAGCTTAATCAAAAATGTGTACAGAATCTACAGATGTAAAAAAGCTGAGATGTTTCTTCCTTTGACAATTGAGTCCTAATTTTATTGATGCATGCATGAGTGCATAATAGTTCCCTTCATGAAACATCTCCAAGTCCTCCATCAGTTAAACAAAACTGTCTTTAATTGCATTGCAACTTAAGGCAGCTTTAGAGATAATTATTTTTCCAACAATCCTAGGATAATATACTATATTTTGAAAAGGCTAAGGAAAATATACAGAAGAAATAAGATGCTTCTTCTGCATTATCCAATTATTGGGTTTAAAAAAAACGGGCACAATCTATATCAATATTTCATTTTGGGCATCTGCAGTGATGCAATGTGACTTAGTCCCCCAAGAAAATCATCAGATGCATTGCACTTAAGCATTCAAGTGGAACCAATTTGCTTTGATGAGCTGCTTTGTTCTGGCTTTTGTGGGTACATTGCCATTGTACAGAAGAACACTAAGGGGCCAAAGAAGCAGACAACTTGAAGTAGCATGACTGTGCCAATCCAATAAGAAAAAAAAAATACTGTGTCACTTCATTTTGCATTTGCATTCTGATAGGATCATTCAGGACAAGTATACACTTCAATGGATAGTTAGGACTGCAGAAAAAGCAATTGCAACCAGTCTGTCTTCCATTGAGGACCTGTATACTGTACGAACCAGAAAAAGGGCTGAGAAAACATCTACATACTCCTCACATACTGAATACAAACTCTTTCAACTTCTCCCCTCAAGACACTACTATAGAGCTTTGAATGTCAAAACAACTAGACCCAAAGATAGTTTCTTCCTCCATGCCATCACTCTGCTAAAGACCTAACTCTCACAGCACTCTTTAAGATGTAGACCCATGTAGTAGGCTTTAATGCTATTATCTGTGTCATCTTATCATCTTTCCTATCTTCTGATCTCCTCATCTTTCTCACCTCTCATCTTTTCTATTACCTTTTCCTATTGGTATATTATGAGTTATCAACTCTTGTTTGTATCTTATGACTTATGATTGTACCTTACAATTTATGATCTGTGACTTATCGGTTAATTGTTGTTTGTATGTACACTGAGAGAGAGTGGGGAAAAGAATTATATTCTATTCTAAATTACCTTTGCTTTAGATCTCCTCGCTATCAAAGCTTTATGCAAGCTTCCAATGTATGTCTGCTTTAGCTATTTTGTTTTACTTAAAGATATAAAATTTCTATCTCATCTTTTCCCTACAGATAAACTTCAAGGTGGCCAACAACAATAATATGTACAATTACAGTTGAAACAATAAAGCAAATCAGTTAGAACATAGCTGTAGGAACTCATCCACTGCATTAAAATCTCATTCATTCATTTTTATTTAGGTCAAGACTCAAGACCAGTAAATAAACATTATTAGGGGCTTCAGCAGAAAGTCAGTGTGGATGCCACAAATCTCTTATTACTTAGGGAAACAGAGCTACCATGTCTTCCTTAGGTGCCGAGTTTTAGATGTCAAAATCAACTACCTTTTGCTTATATGTTGCCACCAAATATAATGAGCTGCGAGAAGATTTGTTCAAGAAGTAAGAAGATTTGTTCAGGAAGCTTTAAAATGGATCTAACTGATCTGGCTGGAGAAATCCAAATGATCACAGGATATAAAAGTGTCTTCTGCATTCTGTTGCTGCCATAGATACACTAGCTATCTGGATTTTTGAAACCCAGACCTAGTAAAATCCATATGAAATATATTCTTGGGTACGTTTATATGTTTATCAAAAATGAGATATTAAGAGTTTTTTTAAAACAGGTAAGACTTCTGAAAACCCCAATTTGTTCTACCTAAAGGAAAGGAGAATATCAGGCATCCTCAGTTCCTTGTACCACAACCTTTCCAGAGTCTCTAAAATAACATTTCTGAAATTCAATAGCAAAATGCTGAGATGTGTGTCCCCATCTCTATTTCATGGGTAGATTTCTGAAATCATTAAAGTTTCTAGGTATCCCTACTGTAAATATTTTCTATATCAAGTTGATATGTTTCAAAGTCCCTGAGTGAAATGTCTTTTAGTTTATTGTTTTGTTTATATATTTGTTTTGATTTCAGTCATTACTCTCTAATGATTTTGAGTGCTTAAAGCAGATGATAGCTAATAAAATGCAAAGCACAATTTTAAAAAATCAAAGATGCAAATTTAAACAAAAGTAACAAAAGGTGGTGAAAGAGATGTGTTTTAATTGCATTTCTGAAATCAGAAAGAGTAAAGGCCAAACACCACTTTTAAGGGAAAGCATTCCCTAATCTAGGAATTATTCAGGAAAAAAAGTACCCCATCCATGTGTCACACAAGCAAGTGTCCAAAAACAGGAACATCTTCAGATGGGCTTCTCTTGTGGACCTTAAAAACTGGACAAGTTCATAACAAAAAAGTGGAATTATTCTCAATTCCTTTATGATAACATTGTTATACCTACCTCAGATTTGCCTGCATGTGTTTTGTTCAAAGAAAATATTATGTGGATTGTGACATCTGGGAAGAAATTGGAAAGATTATGTAATATAATCTTTCTTTGCAGAAGACAGCAAAGAAATATATTAGTTTTATGAGAAGGTTCAATAGGCTGATTGCTAGGAGAGAGAGATTTTTGGTGGGGTGTTCACATACTCATAGAAGTTGCTCCTTAAAAAAAGGAATGTATAGTCCTATCAGTATTCATCTTTAAATGAGCTATGACGACTATCATATTGAGTTAACAATCCTTTAATACACTTTTTAATGAAAAGGGATATCTATGGCATTCTCTGTGATCATATAAAAATTGAATTGTCCCTCATTTGTTCCTCAGATGAGAGAACTTATGAGCCTTGAACACTGTGTAACTTTTAAAAGCAAGATTTGAAGGAGCATGAAAATCAGTAGGTCAGCTGGTCAATCACTCATTTTATTTTGGACACTGACCAGAAAAACAAAAGGGTCCCAGTTGAATGAAGTAAAACAAGCTATAAAATTATATAAAAATATAAGTAAAATTGGAAACTAAAATTTAAGAGTTTGGCACATTACCATGTAAATAGTACAGTAGGATAGAATTTATATAGGGCAACCAAATAACCTAATAGTAAAATATATGTAAAACTATTATAATATTAAAAGGAGGAAAAGTTGTTAATTGTTATTAAATCTAGAAAAATATAGGGTATAATGTATAAAG